GATTGATATCATGAGCATCGATCTATACAATTTGGAGTCAACCACGTCACCGAGCATATATTAGTTTGTTGGCTGTTCAACGCCACACTCAGCAATGTTCCAGCTATATGACGGTGGCCCGTAAATAGTCGAGTCTAGACCAGACAATCGAGTGATTGATATCATGAGCATCGATCTATGCAATTTGGAGTCAACCACGTATTAGTCACCTCTTACGACAGCATGGGTTGCTGAAGACCAATTTTAGCTCGGATCATCACATAAGCTACCACAATAATAACAGGTTTAAAAAGTGAATAATTTCATACTTTAAAGTTTACACTGTTCTTTCATGCTGATTGGCTGAATGGGTAGTCATGTGATCCGATATTTGGAGTTCACACATCTGTGAACGGACAGAAAAGTTCCCAGGATGTTAACAATTTTTGTGTGAAATTGATCCTGTGAACTTTTGCCAGAAGTACTTTCCAAAGTTTCCCGAATTCTCGTTCGGTGTTTACAATTAACTTGTTTTTCTTTTTTCTTTTTAATCCCTGCATTTATCAGACATATAATTAATTTAGTATTTTACGTCTGCTACATGAAACAAAATCGATTGTCCTTACGGTGATTTGGATATGGAATGGTTATTTATCAATACTAATAAACAAGTGAAGAAAATGAATTCTGTAAACTTACTGAGGTGAGCGAAATTGATTTATTGAAGGATATTGACTTTGATGCCTTGTTTCGGAAATGACAGGAATCTAGCACCAAAGAATTGCAAATGACTTGAATGTTGTACCCTGCTCAGATGTGGCCGTCGACACAGATCAAAGCGACTGTTCCTGATCAATCCCAAACTAAAACCTGATTCACAATCGTATCAGAAAAAAACAAACTACAAGACTTTGAGAAACCAAGACACAGCAAATCTACAATGAAAAACACTAAATTAATAGGCTCTGAAAGTGTTCAATGGTAAGCCAAATAATTTTTTTCTAGCTTTTAAAAATATAAGACATAAAAAAGGTAAGGAACAAAATTTGAAATAAAAAAACAACCCAAAAACTTGCCTCGATCTAGCGATCTACCTGTTTTACCGATTGGTCATCGGAGACGGTTGGTTTGTTGTTTAACGCCGCACTATTCCAGCTTTATGACGGGAGTCTGTACATAACCGAGTCTGAAGCAGACAATCCAGTGCTTAATATCATGAGCATCGATCCACGCAATTGGGATACGATGACATGCATCAACCAAGTCAGCGAACCTGACCACCCGATCCCGTTAGTCGCCTCTTACGTCAAACATAGTCGCCTTGTCATCAGAGACGAGAAAATGCCCGTTGACGGAACTACTAGTCCGGTTTCTGAGTTGGTCGACCTTCTTCGTGTGCGTATTCTAGGCCGAGAAGCGGCGGCACATGAGGAAGGACGGGGCACAGAAACGAAGCAAAGTAAGCAAAGTATTACAGCATACACGACAAATCCAAAACTCCAAATATAACACACCTTGACCTTGATAAATTAACACAAAACACGCGAGTTTCAGAGCACTCCGTTCAATCCCCACCAGTTCACATTCCACAAGGCGCTGGTGAAACTTAAACACAGTTTAACATGCGCTTTTAAATTGTTGACACTTCAATGAACCCATCCAAACTGATGTTCAGTTCTTAAATACATGTGTAATCTACAGGCAAGTGAAGTGAAATAAAGAAATCTGTTGTCAATCTTGTGCTCTCGCACGCATGTCATGATCAGAGAACCACACACTGTGTCATATTTTAAGCTGCTACAAAAACATTCTGATGATGAAACTATTAATGTTTCGATTCAAAACAGTTATAATTCACAGGCAAGTGATGTGAAATGAAGAAAATTGCTATTTGAAACATTTTTTGTAAAACTTCACTTCACTAATTTTCATATCACATCACTCTCAAAACATCACACAGTGTCTCATGTTGGAAGTCACTACAGCAATAATTTCAACATAAAGATAGTCATGTGAGAATTCTAAATACTTTGTATACACTGTACAACCCTCTCGTGCAGCAAAACATCACATTTTGCAAACTTCGTTACTGTTTGTGAACATGAAATAACATAGAAACCAGACACTTATATGTCCGCTTCTCTCAGTTCGTACACGTCATTGAAACAGCTGATATATCTCTCTCAGTTACACCAGAAACCATACAATAATCTATTATATGGTCTCTGGTTACACTGATAACTTCACACAGTCTCATGTCTTGTTTATTTCCTATGTCAGCGCGTCATGAATCAGTGACATCTTGGTGTCAGTGATGGCGATGTTGTCCCCGCTGATCAGCTCCATGTTGACAGTGCAGAAATCAGAAACACCTAACACGGGGTACAGGTCTTGCCGGAACCTCTCATCAAACTTCGCTAAAACAATCCCTCTGTTGAGATCAATGAAGGCGAGTCTGTCCCTCCCCACATCCAGCACCACGCCATAGTGGAGGGTGGCCTGTGTGCCGCGAGTGAATGACATGGTGTTCTGGTGACACTTGCCCCGCTCCCCCTCCCGCCACACCACGGTACAGAGACTCTTCCCGTGTCTGCCACAGCTCGCTACACGGACACCCCAGGAGCGACGCTGTAGAGAAACCCACCGCCCACTGTCCACCTGTCCTGCCTCTACCACCCCCATCTCCAGGATATACCACTCTCCCCCACTCACCACCCGCACCCTAGTGCGTGTCTCCCAGTATCTGGGTGTGCTGTATCCCGGGGTGGGAGCGGTGTGGGGTGGAGAAAGGGGGATGGGGGTGGAGGCACAGGTCCCCATATACTCCTGTAGCCTGCGCCTGTCATGTGACCGTGTGCCGGGCTCCCAGTTGACCAGCTCACTGTCTGTAGTTACGTGGCACGCCTCTGTGTTGGCTCGAGCGGCGTCCAGATGTAGTTTAGGACCTGGAAATATAGATGGTGTTTGTTGTGTGACGTGTTTATTTACTGTAGATGACAAAGTCCGACATTTGTCGTGAATCTCGTGAAGTTATCTGTAAACAGCGCGCTGAATGTTCAACTTAGTTTCGCCAGTTTGTCAATTCGGTCTTTTGTGTGACTCATAGCGGAATAAATATACTGTAAAACTATATGTATGTGAATTCTAAATGAATTTTATACAAAGTTACATGGTTTGATGAACAAATAAACATCAAATAAAACAATTTTTGACAAACCTTTGTTCCGCCCTGTTGCTGTGATATGGTAGTCAGACGTCAAAGTTCTTTGCAGAAATATTTACACAATTTCATGTTTAAACTACCACTGTGTGGATTCTAAACTCCTCTTGTACAATATAGAATACAATGAAACAGAAAACTAAGACAAGTGAAGACATTTTGACATTTGTCCAGACAACAGACAACACATGAACAGATAACTTCTATGTCCGCTTCAGTCACTTTCACAGTCAGCACGTCACACGGGGCGGGGAGGCTGTGCCGTGTCCTGGCGGGGAATGGCGGGATGTGCCGTTATAACTGCACGTTTGGGGATTCTAAATGATTGTTACACATAATTACAAACACCAAACCTATATATTTCTACATTTGTTTTATCAACGTTGTTTTGTCAATCTATCTACACTGATGTGTTATAAAACAGACACAGTTTGATTGTAAAATAATACATCATATTCATATCGCCTGATTTAACCTATCTCTGAGATGATATTTGTTTGTACTAATGTGTTTGTAAAGAAAGCAGCGACTGTGCCAGGTCATACATATTAACTATTGCAAACAAGTTCATTTGTTTTGTACCATCGCGAAAGTATTTTTTGTTACTCTCTTCGCCACACTCAGCAATGTTCCAGCTATATGACGGTGGCCCGTAAATAGTCGAGTCTAGACCAGACAATCGAGTGATTGATATCATGAGCATCGATCTATGCAATTTGGAGTCAACCACGTATTAGTCACCTCTTACGACAGCATGGGTTGCTGAAGACCAATTTTAGCTCGGATCATCACATAAGCTACCACAATAATAACAGGTTTAAAAAGTGAATAATTTCATACTTTAAAGTATACACTGTTTCTTTCATGCTGATTGGCTGAATGGGTAGTCATGTGATCCGATATTTGGAGTTCACACATCTGTGAACGGACAGAAAAGTTCCCAGGATGTTAACAATTTTTGTGTGAAATTGATCCTGTGAACTTTTGCCAGAAGTACTTTCCAAAGTTTCCCGAATTCTCGTTCGGTGTTTACAATTAACTTGTTTTTCTTTTTTCTTTTTAATCCCTGCATTTATCAGACATATAATTAATTTAGTATTTTACGTCTGCTACATGAAACAAAATCGATTGTCCTTACGGTGATTTGGATATGGAATGGTTATTTATCAATACTAATAAACAAGTGAAGAAAATGAATTCTGTAAACTTACTGAGGTGAGCGAAATTGATTTATTGAAGGATATTGACTTTGATGCCTTGTTTCGGAAATGACAGGAATCTAGCACCAAAGAATTGCAAATGACTTGAATGTTGTACCCTGCTCAGATGTGGCCGTCGACACAGATCAAAGCGACTGTTCCTGATCAATCCCAAACTAAAACCTGATTCACAATCGTATCAGAAAAAAACAAACTACAAGACTTTGAGAAACCAAGACACAGCAAATCTACAATGAAAAACACTAAATTAATAGGCTCTGAAAGTGTTCAATGGTAAGCCAAATAATTTTTTTCTAGCTTTTAAAAATATAAGACATAAAAAAGGTAAGGAACAAAATTTGAAATAAAAAAACAACCCAAAAACTTGCCTCGATCTAGCGATCTACCTGTTTTACCGATTGGTCATCGGAGACGGTTGGTTTGTTGTTTAACGCCGCACTATTCCAGCTTTATGACGGGAGTCTGTACATAACCGAGTCTGAAGCAGACAATCCAGTGCTTAATATCATGAGCATCGATCCACGCAATTGGGATACGATGACATGCATCAACCAAGTCAGCGAACCTGACCACCCGATCCCGTTAGTCGCCTCTTACGTCAAACATAGTCGCCTTGTCATCAGAGACGAGAAAATGCCCGTTGACGGAACTACTAGTCCGGTTTCTGAGTTGGTCGACCTTCTTCGTGTGCGTATTCTAGGCCGAGAAGCGGCGGCACATGAGGAAGGACGGGGCACAGAAACGAAGCTGGCATCAGGTAAGCAAAGTATTACAGCATACACGACAAATCCCAAACTCCAAATATAACACACCTTGACCTTGAAAATTAACACAAAACACGCGAGTTTCAGAGCACTCCGTTCAATCCCCACCAGTTCACATTCCACAAGGCGCTGGTGAAACTTAAACACAGTTTAACCAGCGCTTTTAAATTGTTGACACTTCAATGAACCCATCCAAACTGATGTTCAGTTCTTAAATACATGTGTAATCTACAGGCAAGTGAAGTGAAATAAAGAAATCTGTTGTCAATCTTGTGCTCTCGCACGCATGTCATGATCAGAGAACCACACACTGTGTCATATTTTAAGCTGCTACAAAAACATTCTGATGATGAAACTATTAATGTTTCGATTCAAAACAGTTATAATTCACAGGCAAGTGATGTGAAATGAAGAAAATTGCTATTTGAAACATTTTTTGTAAAACTTCACTTCACTAATTTTCATATCACATCACTCTCAAAACATCACACAGTGTCTCATGTTGGAAGTCACTACAGCAATAATTTCAACATAAAGATAGTCATGTGAGAATTCTAAATACTTTGTATACACTGTACAACCCTCTCGTGCAGCAAAACATCACATTTTGCAAACTTCGTTACTGTTTGTGAACATGAAATAACATAGAAACCAGACACTTATATGTCCGCTTCTCTCAGTTCGTACACGTCATTGAAACAGTTGATATATCTCTCTCAGTTACACCAGAAACCATACAATAATCTATTATATGGTCTCTGGTTACACTGATAACTTCACACAGTCTCATGTCTTGTTTATTTCCTATGTCAGCGCGTCATGAATCAGTGACATCTTGGTGTCAGTGATGGCGATGTTGTCCCCGCTGATCAGCTCCATGTTGACAGTGCAGAAATCAGAAACACCTAACACGGGGTACAGGTCTTGCCGGAACCTCTCATCAAACTTCGCTAAAACAATCCCTCTGTTGAGATCAATGAAGGCGAGTCTGTCCCTCCCCACATCCAGCACCACGCCATAGTGGAGGGTGGCCTGTGTGCCGCGAGTGAATGACATGGTGTTCTGGTGACACTTGCCCCGCTCCCCCTCCCGCCACACCACGGTACAGAGACTCTTCCCGTGTCTGCCACAGCTCGCTACACGGACACCCCAGGAGCGACGCTGTAGAGAAACCCACCGCCCACTGTCCACCTGTCCTGCCTCTACCACCCCCATCTCCAGGATATACCACTCTCCCCCACTCACCACCCGCACCCTAGTGCGTGTCTCCCAGTATCTGGGTGTGCTGTATCCCGGGGTGGGAGCGGTGTGGGGTGGAGAAAGGGGGATGGGGGTGGAGGCACAGGTCCCCATATACTCCTGTAGCCTGCGCCTGTCATGTGACCGTGTGTCGAGCTCCGAGTTGACCAGCTCACTGTCTGTAGTTACGTGGCACGCCTCTGTGTTGGCTCGAGCGGCGTCCAGATGTAGTTTAGGACCTGGAAATATAGATGGTGTTTGTTGTGTGACGTGTTTATTTACTGTAGATGACAAAGTCCGACATTTGTCGTGAATCTCGTGAAGTTATCTGTAAACAGCGCGCTGAATGTTCAACTTAGTTTCGCCAGTTTGTCAATTCGGTCTTTTGTGTGACTCATAGCGGAATAAATATACTGTAAAACTATATGTATGTGAATTCTAAATGAATTTTATACAAAGTTACATGGTTTGATGAACAAATAAACATCAAATAAAACAATTTTTGACAAACCTTTGTTCCGCCCTGTTGCTGTGATATGGTAGTCAGACGTCAAAGTTCTTTGCAGAAATATTTACACAATTTCATGTTTAAACTACCACTGTGTGGATTCTAAACTCCTCTTGTACAATATAGAATACAATGAAACAGAAAACTAAGACAAGTGAAGACATTTTGACATTTGTCCAGACAACAGACAACACATGAACAGATAACAGGAATGGCGGGATGTGCCGTTATAACTGCACGTTTGGGGATTCTAAATGATTGTTACACATAATTACAAACACCAAACCTATATATTTCTACATTTGTTTTATCAACGTTGTTTTGTCAATCTATCTACACTGATGTGTTATAAAACAGACACAGTTTGATTGTAAAATAATACATCATATTCATATCGCCTGATTTAACCTATCTCTGAGATGATATTTGTTTGTACTAATGTGTTTGTAAAGAAAGCAGCGACTGTGCCAGGTCATACATATTAACTATTGCAAACAAGTTCATTTGTTTTGTACCATCGCGAAAGTATTTTTTGTTACTCTCTTCTGATGTGTTTCACGTTTCGCATCTTCATATATGTTTACTGAGTTACACACATAACAATAATAATATCAAATTTCGTGTTTAAAGAGTTGGTTGTTAACACAACATATTTATTTACATAAACGTTTAATATACTCATGTTCATAATTATAGTCACCCCTATACAAAGACGCTTATATGTTAAGGGGGGGGGGGGGGGGGGGGGGGGGCATTACTTAATTATATTCACCCCTATACAAAGACGCTAATGTCGGGGGGTGGAGGAGCAATGGTGTTAATAATGATAGTGTCCCTTATACAAAGAGTGAGTGAGTGAGTATGGTTTTTCGCCGCTTTTAGCAATATTCCAGCAACATCACGGCGGGGGACACCAGGAATGGGCTTCACACATTGTACCCATGTCGGGAATCGAACCCGGGTCCTCGACGTGACGATCGAACGCCACCATCCCCCCATCCCCCCACCCCCCCATGTATGTGTGTGTAACAAACTGCAACATCGCCGACTGTATGGAATGTATGTGTGTGTAACCACCTGCAACATGGCTGACTGTATGGAATGTATGTGTGTGTAACAAACTGCAACATCGCCTACTGTATGGAATGTATGTGTGTGTGTGTGTGTGTCTAACCACCTGCAACATCGCCAACTGTATGGAATGTATGTGTGTGTAACAAACTGCAACATCGTTGACTGCATGGAATGTATGTGTGTGTGTAACCACCTGCAACATCGCCGACTGTATGGAATGTATGTGTGTGTAACCACCTGCAACATCACCGACTGTATGAAATGTACGTGTGTGTAATCACCTGCAACTTGGCCGACTGTATGAAATGTATGTGTGTGTAACCACCTGCAAAATCGCTGACTGTATTGAATATATACGTGTGTTACCACGTGCAACGTTGCCGACGACATTGAATGTACGTGTGTGTAACCAACTGCGATATCGCCGACTATATCGGATGTATGTGTGTGTAACCACCTGCAAGATCGCCGACTGTATGGAATGTATGTGAGTGTAATCACCTGCAACATCGCCGACTGTATGAAATGTATGTGTGTGTAACCACCTGCAACATCGCCGACTGTATGGAATGTATGTGTGTGTAACCACCTGCAACATCGCCGACTGTATGGAATGTTTGTGTGTGTAACCACCTGCAAGATCGCCGACTATATGGGATGTATGTGTGTGTAACCACGTGCAACCTTGCCGACGACATTGAATGTACGTGTGTGTAACCAACTGCGACATCGCCGACTATATCGGATGTATCTGTGTGTAACCACCTGCAAGATCGCCGACTGTATGGAATGTCTGTGTGTGTAACCGCCTGCAACATCACTGACTGTATGGAATGTATGTGTGTGTAACCGCCTGCTACATCGCTAACTGTATGGAATGTATGTGTTTGTAAGCGCCTGCAACATCGCTGACTGTATGGAATGCGTATGTGTGTGTAACCACCTGCAACATCACTGACTGTATGGAATGTACGTGTGTGTAACAACCTGCAACATCGCCGACTGTATGGAATGTATGTGTGTGGAGCCACCTGCAACATCGCCGACTGTATGGAATGCATGTGTGTGTAACCACCTGCAACATCGCCGACTGTATAAAATGTATGTATGCGTAACCACCTGCAACATAGCCGACTGTATCGAATGTGTATGTGTGTCGTCACCTGCAACATCGCCTACTGTAGGGAATGTGTGTGTGTGTATGTAACCACCTGCAACATCGCCTACTGTAGGGAATGTGTGTGTGTGTATGTAACCACCTGCAACATCGCCGACTGTATGGAATGTGTGTATGTAACCACCTGCAACATCGCCGACTGTATGGAATGTATGTGTGTGTAACCAACTGCAACATGGCTGACTGTATGGAATGTCTGTGTGTGTGTGTGTAATCACCTGCAACATCACCGACTGTATGAAATGTATGTATGCGTAACCACCTGCAACATAGCCGACTGTATGGAATGTGTATGTGTGTCGTCACCTGCAACATCGCCTACTGTATGGAATGTACGTGTGTGTAACCACCTGCAACATCGCCGATTGTATGGAATGCGTATGTGTGTGTAACCACCTGCGACATCGTCGATTGTGTGGAATGTGTGTGTATGTAACCACTAGCAACAACGACGATTGTATGGAATGCGTGTGTATGTAACCACTAGCAACATGGACGATTGTATGGAATGTAGGGAATGAATGTGTGCGTAACCACCTGCAACATCGCCGACTGTATGGAATTTACGTGTGTGTAATCACCTGCAACATCGCCTACTGTATGGAATGTACGTGTGTCTAACCACCTGCAACATCGCCGTTTGTATGGAATGCGTATGTGTGTGTAACCATCTGCAACATCGCCGACTGTATGGAATGTATATATATTTGTGTAATCACCTGCAACATCGCCGACAGTATGAAATGTACGTGTGTGGAGCCACCTGCAACATCGCCGACTGTATGGAATGTATGTGTGTGGAGCCACCTGCAACATCGCCGACTGTATGGAATGTATATATATTTGTGTAATCACCTGCAACATCGCCGACAGTATGAAATGTACGTGTGTGGAGCCACCTGCAACATCGCCTACTGTATGGAATGTATGTGTGTGGAGCCACCTGCAACATCGCCGACTGTATGGAATGTATGTGTGTGTAACCACCTGCAACATCGCCGACTGTATGAAATGTATGTATGCGTAACCATCTGCAACATCGCCGACTGTAGGGAATGTGTGTGTGTGTATGTAACCACCTGCAACATCGCCGACTGTATGGAATGTGTGTATGTAACCACCTGCAACATCGCCGACTGTATGGAATGTATGTGTGTGTAACCAACTGCAACATCGCCGACTGTAGGGAATGTGTGTGTGTATGTAACCACCTGCAACATCGCCGACTGTATGGAATGTGTGTATGTAACCACCTGCAACATCGCCGACTGTATGGAATGTATGTGTGTGTAACCAACTGCAACATGGCTGACTGTATGGAATGTGTGTATGTAACCACCTGCAACATCGCCGACTGTATGGAATGTATGTGTGTGTAACCAACTGCAACATGGCTGACTGTATGGAATGTGTGTATGTAACCACCTGCAACATCGCCGACTGTATGGAATGTATGTGTGTGTAATCAACTGCAACATCACCGACTGTATGAAATGTATGTATGCGTAACCACCTGCAACATAGCCGACTGTATGGAATGTGTATGTGTGTCGTCACCTGGAACATCGCTAACTGTATGGAATGTACGTGTGTGTAACCACCTGCAACATCGCCGATTGTATGGAATGCGTATGTGTGTGTAACCACCTGCGACATCGCCGATTGTGTGGAATGTGTGTGTATGTAACCACTAGCAACAACGGCGATTGTATGGAATGTGTGTGTATGTAACCACTAACAACATCGCCGACTGTATGGAATGTATATATATGTGTGTAATCACCTGCAACATCGCCGACAGTATGAAATGTACGTGTGTGTAACCGCCTGCAACATCGCCGACTGTATGGAATGTGTATGTGTGTCGCCACCTGCAAACTCGCCGACTGTATGGAATGTATGTGTCCGTAACAAACTGCAACATCGCCGACTGTATGGAATGTATGTGTGTGTAACCACCTGCAACATCGCCGACTGTATCAAATGTATGTGTGCGTAACCACCCGCAAAATCGCTGACTGTATAGAAAGTATATGTGTGTAACCACGTGCAACTCTGCCGACAACATTGAATGTACGTGTGTGTAACCAACTCCGACATCGCCGACTGTATGGGATGTACGTGTGTGTAACCGCCTTCAAAATCGCCGACTGTATATTGTATGTGTTTGAACCAACTGCAAGATCGCCAACTGTATGGAATGTATGTGTGTGTAACCACGTGCAACTTTCCCGACGACATTGAATGTACGTGTGTGTAACCAACTGCAACATCTCCGACTGTATGGGATGTATGTGTTTCCAACCACGACCAACGTGCGATGCATTTATGAGTAACAACTAGCAACATTTACGATTGTAAGAAATATGTGTGTATGTAACCACTAGCAACATTTACGATTGTATGGAATGTGTGTGTATGTAACCACTAGCAACATGGACGATTGTAAGGAATATGTGTGTATGTAAGCACTAGCAACA